CAATCCTTTGTATTTCTGTGGGTCTGTTCTTATTCTACCTCTTTCATTTCTGATTTTTTAAATTTGGGTCCTCTCTCTTTGCTTCTTGGTGAGCCTGGCTAGAAGATCATCAATCTTTTTTATCCTTTCAAAGAACCAGCTCTTGGTTTTTTTTTTTTTATCTTTTGTATTGCTTTTTTGGTCTCTGTGTCATTTATTTCTGCTCTGATCTTTATTATCTCCTTCCTTCTGCTCACTCTAAGCTTTTCTTGCTGCTCTCTTTCTAATTATTTAAATTATAGAGTTAGATAATTTATTACCATTTTTTTCGAGATGCTATGAACTTCCTTCTTAGGACTGCTTTCACTGTGTCCCATAGATTTTTGATTGTTGTGTTTTCATTGTCATTTGTTTCCAGAATGTTTTTAATTTCTTCTTCGATCTCTTTGGTAACCCAACCATTGTTTAATAGCATGCTATTCAGCCTATAAGCATGGTTTGTTTTTATTGTAATTGATTTCTAATATTATGCCATTGTGGTCTGAGAAGATGCTTGATATGATTTCAGTCTTCTTGAATTTAAAGAGATGTTGCCTGTGACCCAATATATGGTCTATCTTTTACAATGTCCCATGTGCACTTGATAAGAATGTATATTCCATAGCTTTGGGATGAAATGTTCTGAAGATATCAATTAAATCCATCTGATCTAGTGAGTCATTTAGAATTGCTGTTTCTTTGCTGATTTTTTATTTAGAGGATTTATTCAGTGATGTCAATGGGGTTTTAAAGTCCCCTACTATGATTTATTGCTATTGATCTCTCCCTTGATATCCTGTAAAAGTTTTTTTTAAATGTATTTGGGTGCCTCTGCATTGGATGCATATATGTTTACCAGAGTTATATCCTCTTGTTGTATCAATCCCTTTAGTATTATGAAGTGGCCTTCCTTATCTCTTGTTATGGCCTTCACTTTGAGGTCTATTTTGTCAGATATAAGTATTGCTACCCCACCTTTTTTTTTCATTTCCATTTGCCTGGAAGATATTTTTCCATCCCTTCATTTTTAGTCTGAATGAGTCCCTTGTTCTGAGGTGGGTCTCTTGTAGACAGCATATATATGGGTCATGTTTTCTTATCCATTTAGCCACTCGATGTCTTTTGATTGGAGCATTTAGTCCATTTATGTTTAAGGTTATTATTGATAGATACTTGTTTGTAGCCATTTTTTTGTGTGTGCCTGTGTTCCTTTTCCCCTTTCTATTCCTTCTTTCTACAACAGTCCCTTTAGCATTTCTTGCAGTGCTGGTTTGATAGTGATAAACTCCCTTAGCCTTTTTTTGTCTTTGAAGCTCTTGATTCCCCTTCAATTTTGAATGATAGCCTTACTGGATAGAGTATTCTTGGATTCATTTCCTTGGTTTGCATCACTTTGTATACTTCATTCCAGTCCCTTCTGACCTGATGTGTTTCTGTTGATAAATAATTTGATAATCTAATGGGATCCCCTGTAGGTAACTTTCTGTCTCTTGCAGCCTTTAAGATCCTCTCTTTGTCATGAATGTTTGCCACTGTTATTACGAGGTGCCTTGCTGTGGGTCTCTGGGTTCATCTTGTTTGGGACTCTCTGTGCGTGTGTGATGTTTTTATTACCCCAAATCCTGGAAGTTTTCTGTCATTATTTCTTCAAATAGGTTTTCTAAACCTTGTTTCTCCTTTTGTCCTTCAGGCACCACTATTATACATATGTTATTTCATTTCTTGTTTTCCCAAAGCTCCAGTAGGTCCTCTTCCTGCTTTTTAATGTTTTTATCCAATTGCTGTTCAGATTGGGTGTGTTTTTCCTGCCCTTTCTTCTAATTTGCGAATTCGTTTCTCCACTTCTAGTCTACTGTTGAAACCTCTGTTATGTTTTTATTGTAGCTATATCACTCTTTATTTCCTCATGATTCATACATAAGTTGTTGATTTTCTCATCCAGCCAGTTTAGAAATTATATGATCCTTACTCTGAATTGTTTCTTGACATATTGCATGCCTCTGTTTCATTTAGTACCTTTTCTGGTGACTCCTTTTCCCCTTTCCTTTGGGGGTTGTGTCTTTGTCTCCCCATTTTTGCTCTCACAGGAGGATGTAGGTGCTGAGTCATGTGGGGCCTGGCTGCAGCGGTGGGCTCAGTATTAGGGTCATGCTCTCTGAAACTTCCTGGTGGGCCCAGGCGCCAGGACACAGGAGGCCTGTGGTTAAAGCAGCAGGCTTGGCATGTGGGTTGCACAGTCCCAGACTTGCTAGTGGACCCAATCGCCAGGTCATGCAGTGCCTGGTGATTGAAGCAATGGCTTGCCAGACGGGTTGTACAGTTGCAGGGCCTGGGGCCAAAGTGGCTTACGGTAGGGGAACATGCTCTAGAACTCACAGGAGCCTGCAGCTGTGGGGGATGGAGTCCCAGTGTCTGTGGGTCTGCAGATGAGGTTGCAGGTCTTTTGGCTGTAGGTTCTGGGGTGATGTCTGAGGCCACCTGGGTATTGGTGAGAGTGGGCTTATAGTCACAGCAGCTCTCCCCTTCAAGATAGCATGGTTTCTATGTCAGAGCTGGCCACCTCAGGAGTGACTGCAGAGGTTCAGGGCCTCCCCACCTGAAGAGCCCAGTCCACCAGCCCCTGAAAGTCCTGCAGGATCTAACTGTCCCTCACTCAAACACACATACACACCACACATCCATCCACTCCTCTTTTGCTCCCTCACTCACTCACACTCTCTTCCTTACTACTGTCTTTCCAGCCACCATTTGGCTGTCCTCTGATTTTTTTAAAATGCACTAAGGTGTTATTTAATTATTGAGTTTTTGTTCCTATACTCCATTAAAATTTCCACTACCACAGTCTTGGTCCTGTATAGAATTTGAGGAGAATTGTTAAATTTAAATTGGATTTAATCAAAGCAATATTTTTATTTGAGCAAAGCAAGCAGAAACTTAATTTCTTACTGGGCATGTTCAGGAGAATGTCTTGCCCTGGCTGGTGGTGCTCGGTGGTTAGAGTGTCAACCTGCACACCAAAGGGAAGAGATTTCGATTTCAAGTCTAGGACATACACCTGGGTTGTAGGTTTGATCCCCACTCTGGTCGGGGCAAGTATGGGAAACAATGCATCTTTCTCATATTGATGTTTCTCTCTCTCTCTCTCTCCCTTCCCCCTTCCCTCCCTCCCTTTTACTCTCACTAAAAAATCAATGGAAAAAAATAACCTCTGGTGAGGATGAACAAAAACAAACAAACAAACAAACAAAAGAGTAGCTCTTTTCATAAGAGAAAAGGCTGATTATGGTAGATTCTGCTCTCTATTTTGGCTGTTTACTAGCAATATATATAATAGATACATTTATATAATAACATGATCAACCCAACCCATCTCTACCTCTAAATCACCCAGTCTAAGTGATGAATCAGTTATTGCATACATTTGAATTGTTCTCATTTTTAAAATTAGACGTAACTAAATATATAAAAGGGCTGAAGTGGATAAACATTTATGTCCTTCCTATTTTTAAAATTCAACAGTTCTTATTTAGTGATTGCTAGGATGCTTGGGGACAGAGATGAGAAATCTAGTATGGAATAGGAACAGTTAAGTGATCTCTGGGCTTGTTATCAGTATTTCATTATGGATACTATTTCTCTCCCATTTTGTTTAGAATAAGAGAAAACTCTATTTTAACATTGGATAGGGAATGAAGGGATACAAGTGATCAATTTAGCAAAAAATAAGGTTGCTCATTTTAACAATATAGAACCATTTGAATCATGTTGCTGTTTACTTTATCTGTTTCATACAGAAGAAAGTCTAGCAGGCTTAAAATGACGGGGTCTCTTTTTAATCCTAGTTCTACCCCCTGCTACTATTTAACGTGAGGTAAATTATAAACCTCTGTAGGGAATCACATTATAATGTCCAGAGTGAGTTTATTATTTCTTCAATGATAATTGTAATTATGTATTATAACTTAACTTATTTTTTTTCTTCCAGCTGCTAGAGGTGCTCAATTTGCTTGTTATGATGAGATAAATTCAAGAGGAGATAGATATGGAAACTGTGGAAAATTTTATTGTTCTTTTCCGTATGTATTAGGCAATTCTAATTTTGTTTGTAATGTAGCTTATATGTTCCTAAGATGCTGGGGTCCAGCCCCAGCGGGTCCAGGGGTTCCCAAAGGTGTGGACGGAGTCGGCAAAGAATGTTTTACACGGAGACAGTGTTCAGAACTCTCTAGCTTTCCTTAGTCTCCGTGGATCTTCCTGTGCCTGGCTGAGGCCACAGAGAGATCCCAAGGCAAGCTGAGCCTTTATTTTATAGTGAGAGGTAAACAAAGTAGTGGTTTCCATAGTTACACAGTTCTTGTGAGTTTCACTTGTTTTGGCCACTTCCTGCACTTCCCTCAGCCCATTAGCTTCCCAGATAAGATCTAGAGAGCCTCATAAGGTCAAGCCTAATTATGCTTAGAGGACTGTGCCCTCTAAGCTGGGAATTGTTTGTGACTTTGCCCACAGGTCAGTCTGAGGCTTAACCCTATATCAGCTCCCCACACTAAGATCCTAGAATATATTATTATGTACAGGCTAAAGTGGTATCTTATACCAGGTTTTCTTTGTTTCATTATCTGAGAACAATGTTATTACCTATTGCCTACAAATAACGTGTGCCTATAGTGTTACAACAACAATGACCATAAAATAGCCTCTGTCTATTGTTGTGATGAGCTAGGCATTGTGTTAGGTAGTTTATATACATTATATAATAAATATATTTAATACATCACACATTTATAGTAAGAGCTATTCTATTTTACTAATGAAAAAAATTGAAGACCAGCAGCCATTGGTTTAAATATCAGAAGCCAATATAGGAGAGATCAGGGTCATCAAATTGCAAAAATCATTAATCTTTTCCCTTGCCACATTGCCTCACAAAACAAGAAGGCACACATCATACATAACTCAGTGGACTCAGAAAATTACTGAGAAAACTCTTGAAACCTGGATTTAAGTCAGTGAAATACCTTTTTAACTTAGCCATATCAGCAATCTATGTTAATATGAGAATTTTTTTTTCTGCCTTATACTTCTAGTAACCTCTTGTGTGGAAAATTAGTTTGTGCCTGGCCACATAAAGCAATAGTATCAAAAGCAAATTTATCTGTGATTTACACACACGTACGAGATGAAATATGTGTGTCTACATTTCTAAAATCGGACAGGATACCTGCCAATGACCAAACAACAGTAAATACAGCTGAAGATAGAGATATAACATTTACAGAAGATGGCACTTCGTGTGGTCCTGATATGGTAATTAGAACTATAAAATTATAAGTGTTTTCAACATCTTTTATGGTTATACTCATTTTGACAATATACCAACCAAAGAACTTTAAAATAACCTGATGGAGGCATCATTTACATAAAATTCACCTATGATAAGGGTGTAATGCATTGCTTTTGATTAATTTAGAGTTGTACAACCATCAGCACATCCAGTTTTAGACCATACCATCACTTCTTCCCTCTTGCCCACTTGCCCATCCCTAGCTCTAAGCTACACAGCCAGTTTCCTCTATTAACATTAGCACTAGTATGATACATTTGTTATAATTAATAAACTAATGTTGATGCATTATTATTAACTAAATCTAGTAGTACATTCAGATTTCCTTAGCTTTTACTTAATGACGTTTTCTAGGATTCAGCCCAGAGTACCACTTTGCATTTATTTGCTGTGTGTATTTAGGCTCCTCTAAACAGTACAGTTTCTTAAATGTCCATCTCCCCCTCCCCCCTTTCTTGGGAAGAAGATCACATCATATCAAATATACATGCTTGTTGATATTAATTTTGATCACATGGGTGTGGTAATATTTGACAAATTTATCACTGTAAATTATTTTTTCTTTCTATATTGTACTTTATTGAAAGAAATTACTGTGCATAGCCCACACCTAAGGAGTAATAAGTTGTGTTCCACCTTCTTGGAAATTCAGTATCATTCAGTATCATTAAATCATTTTGAATTTGGCATAGTTTTGTCTATTTTTCTCTATTTATTCAATCATATATTTGTAGCAGTATGGAATCCATGGATATTTATATTATAGTTTTGGTTATTATCCAGTATGACTTTATTTTATTGTTCAAATTGTTCTAACTCTGGCTATTGGGAGTTCTTTCAACTTGTTTTTATATTGCTTTGACATACTATTATCATTGTGTGTGCTTTTCTTTTGGAGTGCTTCCTTACTTTCTGGAATGACAAACTGTTCTAGGTCCATCTTGTATATTTTGTGTCTTAGTTCCTAGAATTTGCATTCTCCCAGGAGTCCTGGTTTATTTTAACTAGAAATGATAGTTAGAAACCAAGATCTAGGGCTAATTGTGCTTTTGCTACTGGAGTTTCAGTGGTTTGGCCCTATCAGTAGACAGAACTAGGAAATATGTATCTGGCTGGTGTGGCTCAGTTGGCTGAGCATCATCTCATGCACCAAGAGGTCACTGATTTGATTCCTGGTCAGGGCACATGCTCCAGTTGCAGGCTCAATTCCCCAGTGGGGGGTGTATAGGAGGCAGCTGATTGATGTTTCTCTCTAATCAATGTTTCTATTTCTCTCTCCCCCTCCCTTCTTCTCTCTCTCAAATTAATAAAAACAATATTTAAAAATATTTTTTCCAAATGTTTTTAATTTCTTGCCCTCTCTTCTCCTTTTGGCACACCCATGATGTGAGTGTTTGAATGTTTGAAGTTGTCTCAGAGGCTTTTTGCACTATCTTCATTCTTTTTTAATTCTTTTTTCTTTTTTCCATTTGATTGTATACTTTTTGCTTACTTGTATTTCAAATTGCTGATTTGATTGTAAATCATTCTTCATTTCAGTTAGTGTATCCTTCATTTACAACTGGTTCTTTTTTATGGTTTCTGTCTTTTTCATACTATTGAAGTTTTCACTAAGTTCCTTGAGCATCCGTGTAACCATTGTTTTGAACTGTGTCTGGTAGTTTGCTTGTCTCCATTTCATTTAGTTCTTTTTCTGGAGATGTCTCCTGTTCTTTCATATTGGATCTTTTTTTTGTTTCTGCATTTTGGAAGCTTGCCTGTCTTGTTTTTATGTATTAGCTAGAGCTGCTACATCTTCTGGACTAGCTGGAGTGGCCTTGTGTAGTAGGTGCCTGCAGGCTTCAGTGGCACAGCTTTCCCAGTCACCTGAGCTGGGTGTTCCAGGCACCCTGATGTGGACTGTGAGAACTGTACTTTTGTATTTGAGCTTTGATTACTGTTGGCATGTCACTGGGAGGAATTCACCTGCCAGAGTAATTGGCTGAGAAGACCAGCTGTGAATACAGAAGACCAGCTGCTGTACAGGAGCTGACCCTACAAAGCAGAACTTATTTTAGAGGGGCTTTGGTCATCATCTTGAGCGTGTTGTTTGTGGAGGTGGGAGGCTTTTAAGCTAGTGTAGTCTGAAGCTGTTAACTTGGTACACTGGCTCTTAGGACTTCTGGGAGGCCCAAGGTCAAGGTCAGCCACTGTCTGTGATCTGCCTGAGGTACCTGGCATGAGCTACAGAGTGATCTGTAGATGGCTGTTACTTGTGCTGGGGTTGAAGGTGCCCAGGAGAGGCCAAGCTGCAAATCAAGGCTGGTTGCTGCCAGTGTTGAGCCTGGGACCATTTAGTAAGAGGTACAGGGTACACAGAGGCTAGATGCTACTTGTTTGAAAGATTTTAGGAAAATCTGAAGCATGAGCTGCAATAGTCCATTTGTATGGAAAAGCCACTGGAAACAGCTGAGGGGGACCAGCAAGTTTGGTGGGCCAGGGTGTCAGGGAATCACCAGGGCAGGGTGAACAGAGTGAGGCAGTTTGATGGAAACTCAAATATGGTGCCCACCTGCCTGCTTGGGCATGGGGGGACTGTCTCAGTAAAGAAACAATGGCTTTCACTAGCACTTTTTTCTAGCAATAAGCTGATACCCCTCAGCTTTTGCCCTGATGCCAGACTATTCAGTTCCTGCCTGTGTGTCTCTGATTCCTTTCTAGCTGCTATCCTAGCTGTAGCTCAGAGGGAGTGGCCATGTTCAGGCCTTTAAGGGGAACTGCCTGGGACTCCAGCAGCACTCCATCTCACTCAGCCACAATCTCCACTGGTTTTGATAGTAAGAAGCTATGTGGACTTCTCCATTTGGCACTGGAACCCTGGGCCTGGAGGCCTGGTGTGGGGCTAGGACCCCTTGTTTCTCATGAGTAACCTCCACAGGAAAAGCATCTCTTCCAATTTTTATTTGCCACACATAGGTGTGGGAACAGCCAATTCCAGGTCTCTGCCCCTCCTACCAATCTCAATATGGTCTCTTCTTTAAATCTCTAGTTGTAGGACTTCAATTCTGCTATATTTCAGGTGGTTCTGAATGATGGTTGTTATGTAGTTGTAATTTTATGTGGTTGTGGGAGTATCCTCATACTAATGATTTTAAGACCTCAATCTCCCATCAGATAGTACTCAAACCTGACTGCTCACAATAATTGCCTGGACCCTGTCCCAGGTATCTATACTAATAATAGAGGAATATGCAAATTGGCTGGGATGCCATCACATAACGATCAATCAGGATGGGGGTAGGGCCACAGCGGAGAGCTCTCAGCATGCCTGCACCAGGGGTCTGAAGGGCATGGAGAGAAAGTGAGAGCAGATAGGCAGTTAGGGGGATCAGGCCAGGAGGGGAGCACAGATAGGCAGTTAGGGTGATCAGGCCAGAGGGGAGCACAGATAGGCAGTTAGGGGAATCAGGCAAGGAGGGGAGAACAGATAGGGGAATCAGGCCAGCAGGGGAGAGAAGTTAGGCAGTTAGGGGGATTAGGCCAGGAGGGGAGAGCAGTTAGGGGGATCAGGCTGGCAGGGGAGAGCAGTTAGGGCCATTAGGCCGGCAGGGGAGCAGTTAGGAGCCAGTGGTTCCGGATTGTGAGAGGGATCCCGGATTGGAGAGGGTGCAGGCCAGGCTTAGGGGACCTGTTTCCTCCCTCCCCCCCATGCATGAATTTCATGCACCAACTGGGCCTCTAGTTTTGATATAATGGTCTCAGGTGGAGCCCAGGCATAGGCCTTTAAAAAATGTTCTTCAGTGAATTCTTGAACTCAAAGAACTAGTCAAATAATTTTTTCAGGAATATATCTTTCTAAGAGGACTTCTGGAGTTAGATGGTAAGAAAATAAAATTTCCAACTTCTTACATATGATTACAACTTTATAATCTGAAGGTACATAGCTTATTTCACATTTATTTCAATGAACTTACAATTACTTTATTGTTTGGATTTTTATGTCAATCCTTGGTAATATGAATTTCTGAATTTTCTAGTTTTTCATCTGTATTATAAATGTACACAATCGATTTTTTTTACTTTATTTTTCATTTCCTTTTGTATTGTTTTAGTATTGTATCAACTTTACCTGTAGAGAGATTAGATACATGGTTGATTATTCTGCATGCAACAATACTAGAGACTGTAATGACAACGGAGTAAGTAATTTCAATTTTCATTTTAAGCTACATGTTTTGAAAATTTAATAAACAGTTTAGAGATTTACAAAATCACTTGAATAATTTTCTAAATCATTTTTATACTACACAGTGCCATTTAATGATCTGTAATTTATAGCTTTAACATTATTTTACTAAGAAATATTGCCAAACTATTTATTAAAGAAGATAAAGTAGAAACATTTAAGATAATTCTGGATGTATAAAATGTTTGGTAAATATGTGTGGTGGATGTGCTGTAAGCACTATGTGTTACATGATAACCAAAGTCATATTATTTTTACAGAGAGAAGGCAGAAACTGGTAAAAACAAAAAGGGTTATATGAACACTTGGAGTGCGGGTGAATTTCCCGCCAAAATATAAGATGGCTCTGTCTTTTGGTTTTGTTCCATCCACCAAAAGGGTGGATTACAAACAAATATTTGGTAATACGCAGTTACAATCGGCCCGAGTTTACACGTTTCCCGCACTCCACCGCAAATCTATATGAACCGAGTTAAAGACGGCTCCCGCGGAGTACGCGCAATTCACGCGAGCCGACTTAACTCGTTTCCCGCACTCCAAGTGTGAATTTTCTTGCTAGTCTTGCTAGTTAATTTAGGGTCTGGGCTGTTCTGTGAAGCTAGAAAGTAAATGATAATTAATGGCATGTTACTGGTAATTGCCAATATTTGTTTGGCTACATGAAGAGTTGAAAGAATTAAAAAAAATTAACTTGGTAACAGAAGCTAGATGTACTTTTTAAGGTATAGATACTTTCAAGAGAAAATTTGTTGAATTGTTTATTTAAGATCAATTTTCTAGAATGGATAGCTTCTTTGGCATAAATTATCTGTTGAATAAGTATAGAATATTCATTTGTCTCTATTGTAAAACATCTTTGCACATAAAAAATTGTTCTATTTTCTGATTATTCTAGATTTGCAACAATTTCCAGCATTGCCATTGTGACAAAGGGTTTGCTCCTCCTTATTGCAAACCAGAAAAAAATGCATTTGGAAGTCAGGATGATGGGCATATATATGCTGATGGTTAGTGTCTTTATCTAATGAATATACATATATGCAAACCCCTTGGACATGGACAATTGTGTGAAAACCAATCAAGGGGGAGGTGTGGGTTAATGAAGGTGAGCAAAGGGAGAAGGGAAGGAGGACACCTATATTTATGTCAATATTAAAATTTTTTAATAAAAAATAGAAAAATAATATGAAGCAGAATGAATTAAAGTGTAGATTACAAACTAGATTACCAAAGAATTGAAGCAAAAAAAAGTATTATTTTTTTCACTTTTCTGATTTTCATTCCCTTTATTTTTTTTAAATTTTATTTTATGGTTTAAGTTATTACAAATAGTAGTACATATGTCTCCTTTTTTTCCCATTGACCTTCCCCCATCTCCCCTACCCCCCAGCACATTCCCTCACCCCCCACCCCCAGTGTCTTGCGTCCATTTGTTATGCTTATATGCATGCATACAAGTCCTTTGGTTGATCTCTTACCTCCCCCCTCACAACCCTCCTCAGCCTTCCCGCTGTAGTTTAACAGTCTGTCTGATGCTTCTATTACTCTGGGTCTGTTTTTGTTTATCAGTTTATGTTGTTCATTATATTCCACAAATGAGTGAGATCGTGTGATATTTTATCTTTCTCCGACTGGCTTATTTTGCTTAGCATAATGGCTCTCCAGTTCCAACCAATGCTCTTGCAAATGGAAGTTTCCTTCTTGTTTTTTACAGGAGCATAGAATTCCATTGTGTAGATGTACCACAGTTTTATAATCCACTCATCTCTGATGGGCACTTAGGCTGTTTCCAAATCTTAGCTATGGTAAATTGTGCTGCTATGAACATAGGGGTACATATATATCCTTTCTGATTGGTGTTTCTGGTTTCTTGGGATATATTCTATAAGATGGATTACTGGGTCAAATGGAAGTTTCATTTTTAATTTTTTGAGGAAATGCCATACTGTCTTTCACAGAGGCTGTACCAGTCTGCATTCCCACCAGCAGTGCACAAGTGTTCCTTTTTTACCGCATCCTCTTCAGCACTTGTCGTTTGTTGATTTGTTGATAATAGCCATTCTGACAGGTGTGAGATGGTACTGCATTGTTGTTTTGATTTGCATCTTGGATGATTAGTGACTTTGAGCATGTTTTCATATGTCTCTTGGCTTTCTGAATGTCCTCTTTTGAAAGGTGTCTATTTAGGTCCTTTGCCCACTTTTTAAAAATATATATATATTTTATCAATTTTTTACAGAGAGGAAGGGAGAGGGATAGAGAGTTAGAAACATTGATGAGAGAGAAATATCGATCAGCTACTTCCTGCACACCCCCCACTGGGAATGTGCCTGCAACCAAGGTACATGCCCTTGACCGGAATCGAGCCTGAAACCCTTCAGTCCACAGGCCGATGCTCTATCCACTGAGCCAAACCAGTTAGGGCCTTAGCCCACTTTTGGAATGGATTGTTTATGTTCCTTTTGTTAAGTTGTAGGAATGCCCTATAAATTTTGGAGATTAAACCCCTATCGGAGATAGCACTGGCAAATATGTTCTCCCATGCAGTGGGCTTTCTTGTTGTTTTGTTGATGGGTTCTTTTGCTATGCAGAGTCTTTTTATTTTGATGTAGACCCATTTGTTTATTTTCTCTTTAGTTTCCATTGCCCAGAGCTGTATTGGTAAAGATATTGCTGTGACAAATATCTGCTATTCTACTGCCAATGGCTTCTGCTAAGATTTTTATGGTTTCTCGTCTTACGTTTAAATCCTTTAGCCATTTTGAGTTTCAATTTGTTTGAATTTGATTTTTGTCTTTCAATTTGTTTATATGATGTATCATGTTTATTGATTTGAGGATATTGTATCAGGGCATCCCTGTCATTTTTTGCATGTATCTGTCCAATTTTCCCAACACCATTTATTGGAGAGACAGTCTTGACTCCATTGTATGCTCTTGCTTCCTTTGTCAAATATTAATTCAGCATAATGGCTTGGGTCGATTTCTTGGTTCTCTCTTCTGTTCGATTTGTCTATATATCTGTTCTTGTGCCAGTACCAGGCAGTTGTGAGGACAGTGGCCTTGTAATATAGCTTGATATCTGATATTGTGATCCCTCCAACTTTTTTTCTACTTCCTCAAGATCGCTGTAGCTATTCAGGGTCTTTTTGTTCCAGATGAATTTTTGGAGAGTTTGTTCTGGATCTTGGAAGTATGCCATTGGTATTTTAATGGGAATTACATTAAATCTATAAATTTCTTTGGGTGGGATGGATATTTTAATGATGTTGATTCTAATCCATGAACACGGAATATTCTTCCCATTGTTTATGTCTTCATGTATCTCTGTTTTCAGCATCCTGTAACTTTCTGAGGACAGGGCCTTTACCTCCTTAGTTAAATTTATTTCTAGGTACCTTAATTTTTGTGTTGCAATGGTAAATGGGATTTTTTTTGTTTCTCTTTCTGTGATTTCATTATTGTTGTATAAAAATGCCATAGATTTCTGGGTGTTAAGTTTGTATCCTGCTACATTGCCGAATTCATTTATTAAGTCTAGTAGTTTTATGATGGAGTCTTTAGCGTTTTCTAAGTACAATATCATGTCATCATTTCAATTATGACAATGTTACTTCTTTTCCAATTTGGATGGCTTTTATTTCTTCGTCTTGTCTGATCACTATGGCTAGCACTTCCACTACTATGGTGAAAGTGGGCATCCCTGTCTTGTTCCTGTTCTTAGGGGAAATGGTTTTAGTTTTTGCCCATTGAGTATGATATTTGCTGTAGGTTTGTCATATATGGCTTTTATTATGTTAAATTATGTTCCCTCTATTCCCACTTTGCTGAGAGTTTTTATCTGGAAAGGGTGTTGGATTTTGTCAAATGCTTTTTATGCATCAATTGATATGATTATGTGATTTTTGTCTTTCAATTTGTTTATATGATGTATCATGTTTATTGATTTGTGGATATTGTACCAGCCTTGCATCCCTGGGATAAATCTCACTTGGTCATGGTGTATGATCTTTCTGTTGTAATGCTGAATCCAATTTGCTAGGATTTTGTTGAAGATTTTAGCATCTATGTTCATCTGGGACGTAATTCTCGTTCTTTATAGTGTCTTTATCTGTTTTGGGATTAGGGTGATCCTAGCTTCATAGAAAGAGCTAGGAAGTGCCTTCCTCTTGAATTTTTTTGGAATAGTCTGAGAAGGATATGTTTTAGGTCTTTTTTGAATGTTTGTTAAAACTCTCCTGTGAAGCTGTCTGGCCCTGGGCTTTTTTCTTGCTGGGAGCTTTTTGATGACTTGCTTCAATTTCCTCTTTAGTTATCAGCCTGTGAGATTTTTTTATTCTTCTTGATTGAGTTTTAGAAGGTCATATTTTTCTAGGAATATGTTCATTTCCTCTAGGTTGTAATGTTTGTTGGAATAGAAATGTTCATAGTATTTTTTTTTTTTACAATCCTTTGTATTTCTGTGGGGTTTATTGTTATTTTGCCTCTTTTGTTTCTGACTTTGTTTATTTGGGTCCTTTCTCTTTGCTTCTTGGTGAGCCTGTCTATTGGTCATCAATCTTGTTTATGCTTTCAAAGAACCAGCTCTTGCGTTCATTGATCTTTTGTATTGTTCTGTTTTGTTTTGTTTTTTTGGTCTCTATGTCATTTATTTCTGCTCCTATCTTTATTATCGTCTTCCTTCTGCTCACTCTGGCCTTTTCTTGTTGTTCTCTTTCTAATTATTTAAGTTGTAGAGTTACATAATTTGTTACAATTTTTCTTGTGTGTGTGTGTGTGTGTTTTTTTTTTTTTTTTTAGGTAGGCCTGTAATGCTATGAACCTCCCTCTCAGGACTGCTTTCACTGTGTCCCATGGGTTTTGGATTGTTGTTTTATCATTTTCATTCATTTCCAGGATGTTTTAAATTTCTTCTTTGATCTCTTTGGTAATCCAATCATTGTTTAATAGCATGCTATTTAGCCTCCAAGTGTTTGAATTTTTTAAAATTGTTTTTATTGTAGTTGATTTCTAATATTAAGCTATTGTAGTCTGAGAAGATGCTTGATATGATTTCAATCTTCTTGAATTTGGAGAGACTTCACCTGTGATCCAATATGTGGTCTATGTTTGAAAATGTCCCATGTGCACTTGAGAAGAAGGTATATTCCGTGGCTTTAGGATGAAATGTTCTGAAGATGTCAATTAAGTCCATCTGATAGTGAGTCATTTAGGATAGCTGGTTCTCTGCTGATTTTTTGTCTATAGGATTTATCCAGTGATGTCAGTGGGGTATTAAATTCCTACTATTTTCATGTTGCTGTTGATCTCTCCCTTGATATCTTCCAGATTTTTTTTTTTAATATATAATTGGGTGCTCCTGCATTGGGTGCATATATGTTTACCAGGGTTATATCCTCTTGTTTTGTTGATCTCTGTAGTATTATGAAGTGGCCTTCCATATTTCTTGTTATGACCTTCACTTTGAGGTCTATTTTGTCAGATATAAGTATTGCTACCCCAGCTTTTTTTTCATTTCTATTTGCCTGAAAGATATTTTTCCATCCCTTCACTTTCAGTCTGTGTGAGTGTCTTGTTCTGAGGTGGGTCTCTTTTATACAAAAAATACATGGGTCCTGTTTTCTTATCCATTCAGTCACTCACTGTCTTTTGATTGGAGCATCTAGTCCAGTTACATTTAAAGCTATTATTGATAGGTACTTATTTGTAGCCATTTTTTTTGCCTGTGTTCATTCTTCTCTCTTTTTATTTTTTCTTCTTTTTACAAATATCCCTTGAGCATTTCCTGGCGTGGTAGTGATAAACTCCCTTTACTTTTCTTTGTCTGTGAAGCTCCTGCTTTCCCCTTTAATTTTGATGATAGCCTTGCAGGATGAAGTATTCTTAGATTCACTCCCTTACTTTGTATCACTTTGTATACTTCCTTCCATTCCTTTCTGGCTTGATATGTTTCTGTTGAGATATCATTTGATAATGTAATGGGAGATCCCTTGTAGACACTTTCTGTGTCTCTCTTGCAGCCTTTAAGATTCTCTCTCTGTCGTTAACATTTGCCACTGTAATTACGATGTGTCTTGGTGTGGATCTTTTTGGTTTAATCTGGTTTGGAACTCTTTGTGCTCGTGTGACTTTTTTGTTCCCCAAACCAGGGAAGTTTTCTGACATTATGTCTTCGAGTAGGTTTTCTAGCCCTTGCTCTTCTTCTTGTCATTCTTGCACCCCTATTTTATGTATGTTGCTTCGTTTCATGTTGTCCCAAAGCTCCCTCAGTCTCTCCTCCTGTCTTTTGATTTTTTTCTCCTATTGCAGTTCAGATTTGGTGTGTTTTGCTTCCTGTCTTCTAATTCGCTAATTTGGTCCTCCGCTTCTCCCAGTCTACTGTTGAAAGCTTCCACAGTGTTGTTTTTTTGTATCTATATCACTCTTTATTTTTTCTTGGTTCTAACATAGGCTGTTGATTTTCTCATCCATCTGGTTTTTGAACTGTATGACCCTTATTCTGAATTCTTTTTCTGACATATTCTATGCCTACATTTCCTTTAGTTCTTTTTCTGGCAATTCCTCCTTTTCTTTCCTTTGGTGGTTGTTCTTCTGACTCCCCATTTTTGCTCTCACAGAAGGATCTAAGTGTTGAATTGTATAGGGCCTGAGGCTATAGCGGAGGGCCTGGTGTTGGGTCTCACAGTTGCTGATGGTGGCTGCTCCTCTCACGGTGAAGGGGGGCAGCTGCTACTCTGGCAGGTGTGCGGTCACCAGCTGCTTTCCGGGGTTGTGGGGCAGCTGCTGGCTCCCTGTGTGGTCGCCAGCAATGGCTGCTGGCTCCCTTGATATGTTCGCGGGTGGAGTCTGTTGGCTCCCCACGCATGCGTGCAGTCTCATGCAGTGGCTGCTGGCTTCCCTCACATGTGTGATTGCAGGTGGTGGCTGTTGGCTCCCCACACGGTTGCAGGTGGCGTCTTCTGACTCTTTATGTGTGTGTGTGGTTGCGGGCAGTGGCTGCTGACTCCCTGTGAGGTAGCAGACAGCGGCTGCTGCCTCCCTGCATGTGCATAGTTGCCAGCAGCGGCTGCTGGCTCCCCTGGCACACGTGGTTATGGGTAGTGGCTGCTAGCTCTCACCTTCAAGATGGTGCAGCTGCTATGGCAGAGCCGGTGCTCCAGGAGAGGTTACAGCAGAAGAGGCTGCCTGGCCATGTGAGCCCAGTCTACCGTCCCCTGAAAGTCCTGCAAGGTCTAGCTGTTCCTCCCTCAGACACACATGTCCACATACTCCCCTTCCACTCCCTCACTCACTCACACACACCCTCACTGCCATCCTCCCAACCACCATCTTGGAACCACAAAGTCCCAATCTATTTTTAAAATACATTTTTTTTTACTGTTGGTAGTGTTACAGATATCTCCCATTTTCCTCCCCGTTTCCCCCTTTTTAAAACCTCCCCCCCCTTTTTTGATTATCTTATATATTCCTAGTTTAAAATAGTGTTAATACTCATTGTTATATTAATGCCATTAGAATCTTTCAGGATGTCTTTTATTTCTTTCTTCTGAATTATAAGGGTTCCAATTTAAAATTGGAAATTTCCCCTTCAGAATCTCTATTCCCCTACCCTAGGTTTCCTGAACATTGTTTTAAGATCAAGAAGGACTGGATGAGGCTGAGTACAACTGGGGGATACTCCCTGTTCCAGAATGTATGGGAGCCCACCAAAAACAACCTGATTGTAGAAGAGGGATGTCCCCCTTACTCTATTTTCTTTGGGGGCAAATACATAATGAATCTCCTGGGAAGGCTAATCTGCAGCTTAGATATTAGGGAGTAGTCATACCTATGGTGACCCACTTTTTAGAGAGCTAACACAAAGCTATCCCAGATTATATATGAGACCAAAACAAAAGCATGATAATTAACATATAACATATAAATATACACATATATTATTTTCTCATAAATATGTGAATAGTTAAGTGCTGGAATGATTCCCCAAAGTATCTTTGGAATTAAGTAGAAGAAGATTTGAGGCAGATTATTGGGGACTATTTTTTACCAGTGAAAAATGGAGACTCAGGGTAATTAATTAAATAAATAACACCAAACTAAAAGGAGAGCTAATAGAAAATATGCTTTCTTGGCTGTTAGTAGTAGAGTTTGTTAAAACTAGACAGTAGTATAAGGGAAAGAAGTAAGAGCAATTTTTCTGGTTCTTGGAAATTTTACTCATGCTTTTGAGGCCACCTGGGAATATATTAGTCTTTTCAAATAACTCATGTAGTGTCATTGATCACCCAAAGATTATACAAGTAGCTGAGAATCAATCTGCAGCACATAGTCAGAGAGGTTGATCTTTCCATCTGATTTAGTGGCTTTCTGGTTACAAATGTAATGTAATCCTTTTCCTAATAATACTGGGAACCTCAATCACATACACAAAGCAGACAAACAGAAAGTGTTGAACTTCCTACCTTGAACTCACTTGAAAAATATTATGAGAAAAAGTCAGAAGCTTCGGGGCAGTTATAATAGGAGTTTGTTGAGATTCAATAATCATAGATAAATGTAGCTAGAGAGTGGCTCCTCTGCCTGTCTTCTCCTGTTTTCCAACTGGAAAAGAAGCGAGAATACTATTCTGTATACATTAAAAGTAGGCAGACTAACAAACCATGGAGAAAGTGAACTTGACACAGTATAAATCCAGAAAGGAGGCTAATATATACAAAGAGATGGAACCTGAGGAGCCACATTCTCAGTTGAGAATGAATAAGAACTGATGAGAAAAATGTAGATATTAGCATTAGTTAGTCAAACGTGGGTTAATGCCAGGCTTAGCCATGCATTGTATAAAATAATCCTAGAGACGTTTTAATTTTTTATTGCTGCATATTTGATTAAACAACTTAAATAAGTTATTTAGTGACTATTAATTTTTAGAAAAAAATTGTTCTATATAATAAAAGAGAAACATGTAAACTGACCATCTCTCTGCTACGCTCACCAACCAATCAGGAGGGAGTATGCAAATTAACCTGACAAAGATGGTGGGTTAATTTGCATACGCAGGCGCTGGGCAGAGAGCAGACTGGGAGAGCCGGAGGCTTGGGGGGACGTAGCTCCCTCGGTCGCTCCCAGCGACTTAGTGTCTAGGAAAAATTAAAGGGAAGATATCCTAAAACTTCCAGGAAATCTCCACCAATGAAGCAAAGAAAAAAAATGCCTCTATTATTCTGTGAGCTACAAACAAAACTGGATTGGGGGGTCTCAGACAATTCACTCATATGATTGCAAAGACAGACAGAAACTCCTGGATTGGAGAGGGCTCCCCTGAGGGCTCCCAGATTGGAGAGGGTGCAGTTTGGGCTGAGGGACCCACCCCCAGTGCATGAATCTTCATGCACCGGGCCCCTAATAGTAATATAAGAGAAATTAAATGCCTAGGTTTCTTTCACACATTTAGGTATGATTCCAATTATCTCTGTGATATGCATGTTTGAATTTTGGAGAGCTATATCAGAAAAGAATTGAAGAATGTTTCCAAGTATTAAACATATGCTTCAGGAAAAAACATTACCTTCAGTCAAAAATATGGTAGAAGATGGAAAATGCAAAATCATCAGTAAAGCACTAGTAACAATTCACTTTGTACATTAGTTGGTTTTGATTTTATAATATTCCTAATATATATGAATGAAATGTTTAGTGTTTGGGAATAGTGCTGGTAATGATAGCCACTCCATCTTTTCATTTGGGTAATAAAAAATCTCTGACATAATTTAAAATGGCCATTTTCTTTTCTAGGTAAATATTCATTGGCCCAAAGATCTGCTTCTTCAAAACGCAGAATTCAACTCATTTTCTACATTTCTTTACCTATGTTTGTCATTATTGCTGCTGTTTTAATAAAGCAGGATAAAATAAGAGATCTATGCTACAGAGGTGAAACCGGAAGTGAAAGGTATATATATCTCTATACTAATAAAAGGGTAATATGCTAATTAGACTGAATGTCTTTCGGACGACCTTCTGGACATCCTTCCTGACAAATCTGGGCCTGGGCGAAGCAGCCCCCAGTGCCGGGAGCCTGCGGCTGCGGCCAGACTAGGTGAAGCCACCCCTGGTCCTGGGCACCTGCGGCTGGCCTGGGCAAAATCGACCTGAGTCCCAGGTGCCTGCAGCCAGCCAGAGGGAGGGAAGCCTGGGTCCTGGGTGCCTGTGGCCAGCTGGAGGAGGGAAACCTGGGTCCTGGGTGTGGTGGCTGAGCCAGAGACAACTGGGTCAATCAGGCCGGCAGGGGAACAGTTAGGGGTGATCTGGCAGGCAGGCAGAGGTGGTTAGGGGCAATCAGGCAGGCAGGGGAGAAGTTAGGGGTGATCAGGCAGGCAGGCAGAGGGGTTAAGGGTGATCAGGCAGGCAGGCAAGCGGTTAGGAGCCAGTGGTCCCCGATTCCAAGAGGGATGTACGGGGATTGGGCCTAAACTGGCAATCGGACATCCCCCAAAGGGTTCCAGATTGGAGAGGGTGTAGGCTGGGCTGAGTGTACTAAGTGACTCCCTTCCTGATTGTACAAATTTCGTGCACCAGGCCTCTAAAATATATATATATATATCTCCTATCTAATAAAGGGGGAATATGCAAATTGACCATCCCACCATCACAAGATGGCTGCACCCACAGCGGAGGCAGGGATTCCGTAACATAAGATGGCTGAGCCCACAGCAGTTGCTGAGTTCCTGTAATGAGCCTTAATGAGTAATCAGCAGGGACCTGAAGCTGTGTGGTGCTGGGCTGGGGCAGGGGACCTGAGCCTGCACCCCCTGCCTGGTGGGGCTTGACAGGGGACCTCAGGCTGCGCCCCCCCCACCCCAGCACCAGGCTGGGAGACCTCAGGGTGCACCCCCCGCCCGGCAGGGCTTGACAGAGGACCTCAGGCTGTGTCCCCCGCCTAGCAGGGCTTGACGGGGGACCTCAGGCCACGCCCACCATCCCAGCACTGGGCCGGGGGACCTCAGGACGTGCCTCCCGCCCCAGCACTGGGCCAGGGGACCTGAGGCCATGCCCCATGCCCAGTGGGGCTTGACGGGGGACCTCAGGCTGTCCCCCTGCTCCGGTGCCGGGCTGGGGGACCTAAGGCCACACTCCCCACTCTGGCGCTGGGCTGGAGTACCTGAGGCCATGACCCCTGCTCCGGTGCCAGGCCAGGGGACCTGAGGCCACGGCCCCTGCCATGTGGGACTTGACGGGGGAACTTAGGCCTCACTGCCCACCTGTGGAGCTTGACGGGGGACCTCAGACTGTGCCCCCCGCCCGCAGGGCTTGATGGGGGGACCTTAAGGCATTCCCCCTGCCCCGACCCAGGCTGGAGGACCTCAGGCCACACCTCTCACCGGGCTGGGCTTGACGGGGACCTCAAGGCATGCCCCCTGCCCTGGCCTAGGCCAAGGGAACTCAGGCCATGCCCCCCGCTCCAGGGCTGGGCTGGGGGACCCGAGGCTGTGCCCCCCCCCACTCCAGCACCAGGCCAGGCTACCTGAGGCCACACCCCCCCACCCAGTGGGGCTTGATGGGGTTGGGGCTGGTGGGTCTGGTTCTAGCTCAGTGGGGGTGGGGCCGGCCAGGTCTGGGTCTTGCGCAATTTTGTGGTGCATGTGGGTGGGCGGGGACTTGACACTGGTTCCTGTGGCATGCCCTAGACTCTGACAAGAGGAAGATTTTCATATACATTTTACTAATTTTCTTTCATCTCTGACATTTCTATTATAGAGAAAGGGCAAATAGCAATATTAAAATATTTTCTCTAATTAATTCCCCTTTAATGGACATGAATTTCATGCACCAGGTCACTAGTATATATGTAATTCATTAAATAGGCCAAAAAAATAAGTATTCAGATTTCATCAGTTATAATCTAAGACTATAAGTAAAGCAATATGTGGAGAGGCCCAGGGATAAAACCATTTGGTATCCTCTATATGTTTTCTGGTTTTATTCATTTTACCACTAGGCTTGATGAGAATAGGTGGCACTTTCAGAAAATTAATGTTTCAGATAAGGAGTCTCACACCAGTGGGAAACACCTTTATTAGAGCACCTCTTAGAGATAATATCTATGAACTTGAATGTAAAGGCTATGATATTTTCAAGTTCTTAGAATTATTCTCCATCCCCAGCCAGAGTGGCTCAGTGGTTGAGCATCAACCCATAAACCAAGAGGTCACTGGTTTGATTCCTGGTCAGGGCACATGCCCCAGTTGTGGGCCCCCAGTGGGGCATGTGCAGGAGGGAGCTGATGATGTTTCTCTCTCATCAATGTTTTTATCTTTCTACTTGTCTCCCTTCCTTTCTCTGTAAAAATATCCATAAAGACATATTTAAAAATTAATCTCCATAACTCTATAAGTGGGAGATCATAATGGTTTTCCAATGTATTGTAAACTTTAGATATACCAAATTAGTAAGTGAAATCACCACATCTGTAATCAGTTACATAAATATTTATGAACTTAGAACACTTCCACTGCACAGCTCTGCTAGCTGTGTGGGTTACCCTAATATTCGAACATCATTATTGAGGCCGTTGTTAATACTTTACTGTATTTTCCTACAGAAGTATTTACCTCTCATTTTGCATTCCAAAAATTGATAGGAAGAGCATACATAAAGTATGTGTTATGAGAGGAAGAATGAAATATGTACAAATATATAGAAAATTTAACTGAAATCTTTGACTACTACTTATGTTTTTTTGGCTTAATATGACCTGAAGAGTTAGGGATAACATAGAATTAGAGGGAGGGGCTGTCTGTACAAATGTGGCTTCTCACATAAACTCTTAAAAAATATGTAAGATTAGGATAAGAGGATTTAATCAACAAAGCAAGGTGGCTGGTGGCATTTGTTCTAATATTGAGATAGCATCTGTTTTTTTGTATTATTTTATTTTGTTACAAGAAGATATTTCATTTATTGAATCACTCTTTCTTTGAAAACATTTATTTAAATAGTCACTCAATTAAGATTTAAAAATTTTCTCCACTTTAAAATAAGTTTTATTATGTTTATAGGTCTGTGTCAGTAGAAGACAGCATTAACAGCAAATTATCCTCAACTGTAAGGTGAGTGTAGAACTGTGTGATTAATCATTTTGCATTATATGTTTTGAACCATAATACAATACCATTTTTAAAAATTTAAGATGTTTTGTTTCCCAAAGGGCTTCCTTTTCAAAGGTAAGACACAAAGTGGGAAAACACATTTTTAATACATATTTCCAATGAAGACTCATATTCAGATTCTATAAAGAATTTGTACGAAACAATAACAAAAGGTGGGAGAACCTACTAGTCAAAATATCTGAAGAGTCGCTTCATAAAAAACATGTAGTATATGTTATAAAAATGAAATATGTACAAATATATAGAAAATGTGACTGAAATTTTGACTAATACTTAATAGTTTTTATATCAAAGGGTATCAAAACATGAAAAAATGATCAACATCAGTACTCCTCAGAAAAAGACAAAATAAAAATGAAGGTCCCCTACATTCCTATAAGAATGGATCACATTAAAAGAGGTGACATTTAGGGTTGGTGAGAATATCAAACAATTAGGACTCACACAGTGCAGGTGGG